AACGCAAAGGCCTGGTGGGGGCTGCTGAGGATGAGGAGAGTGGGCTCCCAGGGCCTGGTCCCAGCTCCTGTGCCTTCGGGGAGGAAATTCAGATGGATGAGGAACCAGCTGCCTCCTTGGGCCTGGGGCTTCCCGACTACACATCTGGCGTCAGCTTCCACGACCAGGCCGACCTCCCAGACACAGAGGACTTCCAAGCCAGGCTCTACGTGGCTGAGTCGCCACATCCCCAGGAGGCTGAGGCCGTGAGCTTGGGCCGGCTGAGCGACAAGAGCAGCACCAGCGAGACCTCCCTGGGCGAGGAGCGGGCTCCTGATGAGGGCGGTGCCCCTGTGGACAAGAGCAGCCTCAAGTCAGGCGACAGCAGCCAGGACTTGAAGCAGAGCGAGGGCTCCGAGGAGGAGGAGGAGGAGGAGGAGGAGGAGGAAGGCTGTGTGGTGTTGGAGGAGGAGGCAGGGGAGCAGGACGAAGTCACTGAGGCATCTGAGCTCACACTGTCCGACACGGTGCTGTCCATGGAGACAGTTGTGGCAGGTGGCGATGGGGGAGACGTGGAGGAAGAGGAGGAACCGCTGAGCGAACAGTCAGAGGGCAAAGAGCAGAAGATTCTCCTTGGTAAGCTCTCAGGTCTGGGAGGTGGTGTCAGACGCCCATCGGGCTTTCCCTCTGCATTTGCTGAGCCCCTGTTCTGTGCCAAGCTTGGATGGAGTCAGTCCGCATGCAGTGTGGAGGTAGGCCTTCCTCCACGAGGCTCACATCCAGCACGGGAGACGCCTCGGGGTAGCTGATCTCATGGAAGTGGAGTGTTACTGCTAGGAGGAGCACAGCTGTGTGGAGCACAGCTGGGTGCTGAGGGAGTGGAAAACTGGGCTTCCGTCTAGTTTTCAGATGTCAGAGAAGGCTTCCTTGAAAGTAGGGACAGTTGAGGTTCAAGTAGAGGTAGGAAGTAGGTAGGCAAACATAGTAAGGCCTGAAATGGGAAGCGCTTCCCTGCTGAGGGAACAGCCTGTGTGAGGCTCTGAGGCTGTCATGGTTAAAGGAGCAGTGAAAGGCCCATGTGGTGAGACTGAGAGAGAGCTGGGAAGAGAGGCCAGTGGGAAGGTGGCCATGGCTGGGTCAGGGGCTTGGGAAGATTCCCTGCAGGGTAACCTTCCTGCAAGTTGTCCCTGATCAGGGACAGGAACCTGGAGTAGCCAGAGTTCCACAGTCCAGGGTCCAGGCACCCCTGCCACTGCTGAGTGGAAGGTGGTAGTATGGGGTGACCTGGCTTAGCTGGGCTCCTTGGCTGAGCTGCCGCCAGAGATGGCTGGGTGGGGTGCAGTGGCGACCGGGAGGGGTGAGGAGTTGCTGCTATCTGATGAGCTCAGAGCCTGCTCCTCCCTGCAGATACTGCCTGCAAGATGGTCCGCTGGCTGTCCGCCAAGCTCGGCCCCACAGTGGCCTCTCGCCACGTGGCCCGGAACCTGCTCCGCCTGCTGACATCTTGTTACGTGGGTAAGTCTTGTGGTCAGCGCTGGAGGTGGGGTTTCCTCCAGCCAACCCCCTCCCCCAATCTTCAGCCTTTTCTGGGGGTCCCTCCCCTCCCACTTCAGCCTCAGACCACCTCCCGCCAGGTCCTGGGTCCCAGACTGGAAGCTCCTTCCTTCCTTGAGTGAGGCATGGAGGGCAGACCCCAGGCTAGAGTGGGTGAGCGAGGCCACCACCATCCTGGACGGCCACCCTCCCCTCCTCCACTAGCTGCTCGAGGCTGCTGGCCCTTCCTCGGCAGGGCCGGCCCGGCAGCAGTTCACAGTGAGCAGTGGCGAGAGCCCCCCGCTGAGCGGCCGCCGGCACCATCTACCAGAAGCGGCCAGTCCTGGGTGATAGAGTGTCGGCGCCTGTGCTCGGCTGCCTCCTCCACCTCGCCCACCTGTATGGGGAGCCCGTCCTTACCTACCAGTACCTGCCCTACATCAGCTACCTGGTTAGTCACCGTCGGCAGGCTTGGGGTGGGGAGGCCGAGCACATGAGCCCTGGCCCGGGAACTCTGGGATACCAGGGCGTCCTGAGGCAGCCTGGCTCTCATCTACTCTGTGGCCCTAGGTGGCCCCTGGTGGTGCCTCAGGCCCCAGCCGCCTGAACAGCCGCAAGGAGGCCGGGCTGCTGGCCGCGGTGACACTGACTCAGAAGATCATCGTGTACCTCTCGGACACCACCCTCATGGACATCCTGCCCCGTATCAGCCATGAGGTCTTGCTGCCTGTGCTCAGCTTCCTCACTTCCCTCGTCACGGGGTAGGGCCCCTGCCTGACCCCGCAGATGAGGGCGCCACCTTGGAGGGGCTGGGACACTTAGGGGAGGCTGGATATCCGGAGTCCTGGTTCTGAGCCTGGCTCTGTGGCCCTGAACAAGTCACACCTTTTCCCCATGCCTCAGTTTCCTCGTCTGCTTTGGATCGGTTGGTCATGGTGTTCCTTTCGTTTAAAGCTTTTCTTTCTTTTCTTTTTTTTTAGTTTCAGTGTTTGCTATAGGGCATGTTAGCTCATCAGGGAAAAAGAGAGAAAGTGAGAAATCATCTCAGTGGGGATGGCTACAGCGTCATCTCCATTCTCATCATGGGATTTTGGGAGGGATGACCACACCGTAATCTTTTCTCCATTTTCATCTTTGGATTTTGGGCATGCGCACATGCACCTAGCTTGTTGCTCAAACCACCGGGTCCAAGACTTGAACTGCACTTGGCTATGTGGGATCCAGTTGCCTTAACCACCGCTGCTGGCTGGCCCCTCATTTAAAGCTTTTGATCTATTCTGGTTAGGTTCTGCAGAGCAGGGGGCTGGAGCTCATGAGTTCTGCTTCCAGGTTCCCCAGTGGGGCCCAGGCCCGGACTGTCCTGTGCGTGAAAACCGTCAGCCTCATCGCCCTCATCTGCCTGCGCATTGGGCAGGAGATGGTCCAGCAGCACCTCAGTGAGCCTGTGGCTGCCTTCTTCCACATCTTCTCTCAGCTGCACGAGCTTCGACACCAGGTCGGCACCTGCCTGGCTGGGGCAGGCTGAGGCGGGAACCATGGACGTGGCTGACTGCCCGGCTTCCTGCCCACAGGATCTGAAGCCGGATTCTGCAGGCCGCAGTGAGGCCCAGCTGCCGGAGGTGGCCTTCTCCGATGGGCAGCTGCGGCCGGGGGGCCCCACCCTGTTGGACGAGCTGCAGAAGGTGTTCACCTTGGAGATGGCGTACACAATCTACGTGCCCTTCTCCTGCCTGTTGGGTACTGCCCCGTCACGTTCCCGTGCACAGCCTTCGTGGCTCTGTCTCTTCCCCTGGGAGGGCTCCGTGCTCTGCCCCACCCCAGAGTCAGTAGTGGGTGTCCCGGGAAGGCAGAGGAGTCAGGTTGATGTACTGACTATCTCTAGGAGCTGCATGAGAGGATGCGAGTGGTTCCCATGGGCTGGCCATGCTGAGCAGGTCACCACGCGTAATCTCTCTGAATCCCATGACCAGCCCCATGTTTAGCGATGTTATCCTTCCACTGAAAGCTAAGCCCTGGGAGGGCAGGGCACCTCTCCTTGTCCACCATTCTCTTTCTTTTCTTTTTTTTTTTTTTTAAGAATTATTTTATTAATTTATTATTTTTTAATTGGACCAGAGAGACAGGGAAAGTGAGAAAGCAAGCTGCCAGGTCTGGGACTTGAACTGAGGCTGGCCATGTGGGAGTCCAGCACTTTAACCATCACACTATCTGTTGGTCCCCCACCATTCTATTTCTGACACCCAGCATGGCACCTAGCACATGTAGGAGACACTTCTGTGTCCACACTGACTAGATGCATGCACGTGTTCCTGGGGAGGAGGTGGAGACTAAGTTACTTGCTCCTAGTTGCACAGCCAGTACCTGCCCTGTCTTCTGTGGGTCTTAAGCCCTCGGATGGGTGGTAGGCGCCACCTACCATTTTCCCTGATCTCAGGACCTCTCTCCCACTCCCATCCAGGTGACATCATCCGGAAAATCATTCCCAACCATGAGCTGGTCGGGGAGCTGGCGGGGCTATATTTGGAGAGCATCAGCCCTACCAGTCGCAGCCCTGCCAGTGTGGAGCCCACCGTACCCAGCACTGGTCCCGAGTGGGATCCCCAAGGTGGAGGCTGTCCCCAGGATGACAGCCACTCAGGGACCTTTGGAAGTGTCCTAGTTGGAAACCGCATCCAGATCCCTAATGACTCTCAGCTCGAGAGCCCTGGCCCACTGGGCACCATCTCTGGGCTGGGAGGTGGGGGCCCCAGCAGTGGGAGCGAGGACAACGCCCTGAAGCGGGAGCTGCCACGGAGTGCCCATGGGCTGAGCGGGAACTGGCTGGCCTACTGGCAGTACGAGATCGGCGTGAGCCAGCAGGACGCCCACTTCCACTTCCACCAGATTCGCCTGCAGAGCTTCCCGGGCCACTCGGGGGCTGTCAAGTGCGTGGCGCCCCTGAGCAGCGAGGACTTCTTCCTGAGTGGCAGCAAGGACCGTACTGTGCGGCTCTGGCCACTGTACAACTACGGGGATGGCACCAGTGAGACGGCCCCGCGCCTTATCTATGCTCAGCACCGCAAGAGTGTCTTCTTCGTGGGCCAGCTTGAGGCCCCACAGCATGTGGTGAGCTGTGACGGGGCCGTGCACATCTGGGACCCCTTCACAGGTGAGCAGGTCCAGGTGAGGCCTGTGCTATTGCTGCTGTCCTGTGTCCTGCTGGGCCGCTGAGAATGGAACCCAAGGTTGGGGCGTTGTTGGGGTGATAGTATGTAGTTTGGGAAGACCTAATGGGTACACAGGAGCTGTTAGGGCTTAGAATCTGTTAGACCCCAGTTTGAATCAGCTCTGACAACTTCTTGCTGAGTGACCTTGAGCAAGTCACTTTGCTGCAGGAAGCATCAGTTTTCCCACCTGTAAAATGGGAATTGGGGCCGGCAGGTGGCATAGTGGTTAAGGTGTTGGATTCCCATATGGCTGACCATGGTTCAGGTCCCAGACCCAGTGGCCTAAGAATCATGCCAGCACATGGGCTTGGATGCTCACATTCCTGAGAGGAAAACTGGAGAGAAGGGACTGTGGTGTGACCATACCCCCGGGGAGTGATTTCTCATTTTCTTTCTCACTGGCCCTATAGCCAAAACCTAAAAAAAAAAAAAAAAAAAGGAATCAGAAAAGCTGGTTTAGAAGATAATGCACAATGCACGTAGGGGTTTGTCTTGACATGCAGCACGTAGTACACATTTGGCAAATTAAGTACTTTTCGGCCTCACTGCAGAGAGACGTATGGTTGAAGAGGGTGGGGATGGAGAGATGTTGGGGGGGGAGTGGCACCGGGTCAGGAGATGCTGTGTGAAAGGAGGGGGTTCGGGCATGGGAACTCAGCCTGGCCATGGAAGCAAGAAGGTAGGAGAGTTGAGAACATCTTTAGTATCTTTGGAGGATCGCTGGGAGGTCAGGGGGGAGGGATGGAGTTAGTTGAGGGGCCGGAAGGGGTTGGGGCTCTTCTATCAGCTTCCAGTACCCCAGATCCACGATGCCGTTCCATCCCAGGGAAGACCCTTCGTGTCGTGGAGCCGTTGGACAGCCGGGTGCCCCTGACCGCCGTGGCCGTCATGCCCGCCCCCCACACCAGCATCACCATGGCCAGCTCTGACTCGACCCTGCGTTTCGTGGACAGCAGGAAGCCTGGGCTGCAGGTCAGGGGGTTTTCTGAGTCCTAGCCTGGTTCTCTGGGGACCTGGCAGGGAAGACTCAAGGCGGATGTTGTCCCCGGGCACTTGTTAATTTCCTCTTTGGGGCCAAATTACCCAGAGAAGCAAACCCCAGGGAGCAGGACTCTGGCTGTGATGGGAGTGGGGTTCTGGCCTTTTCCTTCTGTTGACAGGGGGGGTCAGAAGTTTCCCTGTGTCTGAGCTTGGATGGCGAGCAGGACCTTGGGGAGAGCGGGTGGTAAGGGCCATGGCACCCAGGCTCTGTCTCCCTCTGCCGGCAGCACGAGTTTCGCCTGGGTGGTGGGCTTAACCCCGGACTCGTGCGCGCTCTGGCGGTTAGCCCCAGTGGCCGTAGCGTGGTGGCCGGCTTCTCCTCGGGCTTCATGGTGCTCCTGGACACCCGCACGGGCCTGGTTCTGCGAGGCTGGCCAGCCCACGAGGGGGACATCCTGCAGATCAAGGTAATGGGCTGAGCCCCTCCCCCATCACTGCCCAGCCCCAGCCCCTCACCTGGGCTCCCGTACACCTGCTCAGGGACTGGTTGGCAGGGAGGCTGGAAGTTGGCTCTGGGGCCAGCTCAGGACCCAGCTGCCCTACTGGGGCCCCGGCAGGAGGCAGGCCACGGGGGCGGGAGCCAGGGGCAGAGCTGACCCTGCTGCCCCACAGAGATGTTCTAATGAGTAACCCTTGTCCATATTTGTCTTATTTGGAGGATCAGGGGTCGGGCCCTGTCCGTGACCCAGTTCAGGTTAAATAAAGCTCAGCTAGGAGGCTGTTTACTGCCCCCCAGACCACTGAGCAGAGTCCGTGCCCCCTGCTGGGCTGCCCTAATGGCACAGGAGCAAGTCTAGGTGGGGAGTTTCTGCCCCTTCTGCCCCTTCCCTGTCCCCTCTGCCCCCTTCTCATTGGCTCTCATTTGCAGGCTTCAGGGAACTGCTCAGGGAGGTCTAGGGGGAAGAACAGGCTCCTCTTGGGGGGGTTTCTCCAGGCCACGGGACTTGCTTCCCTAGGATGGGTGGAGGCTGCCCCTGTCTCCCTCAGGGGCAGGGGACCCTGGGCTTCAGATTCCTCTAAATTGATACTTTCCAAGAAAATGTTAGCTTGGGTGGTAATCCTGGTCCTGCCACTTACAGGCTCCATGACCTTAAGTCCTTTGAGCCTCAGTTGTTTTCTCTGGAAAATGGGGCCAGTGGCAGCATCTGCCTCTTGAGGGTTGTCAGGAAGGCTGAATGTAGTGATGCAGGCATGCCCAGCACAGCGCCTGTGTGCCGTGCATTCTCAGGTTAGTGATGACTAGGTTAATGACGCTTCCTGTACGGACACTAACACGTTATGGTGTGGAAGGGTGGCAGCCTGTCACCCCCCGGGATGGCCTGTCTTCTCTGTGAGATGTCATGGGAGGAAATGGGAGGGCCTTGGGGCTCCAGGGTGTCCAGGAGGGTCGAGCCTCTGCTGAAGCTTTCCTCTCCCCGGGCAGGCTGTAGAGGGTAGCGTCCTGGTCAGCTCCTCCTCTGACCACTCCTTGACTGTCTGGAAGGAGCTGGAGCAAAAGCCGACACACCACTACAAGTCGGCATCCGACCCCATTCACACCTTTGACCTGTACGGCAGCGAGGTGGTCACCGGCACCGTGGCCAACAAGATCGGCGTCTGCTCCCTGCTTGAGCCACCCTCTCAGGCCACCACGAAGCTCAGCTCGGAGAACTTCCGCGGCACGCTCACCAGCCTGGCCTTGCTGCCCACCAAACGCCACCTCCTGCTGGGCTCAGACAACGGGGTCATCCGCCTCCTGGCATAGGCTGAGCGGGAGCTGGCCAGCAGAGATGGGCAGAGGTCTCTCTCGAGTCCTCTGCTCCCCCTGCTGCCCTCGCAGCTCCCTCCAGGCAGGCCCCATGCCCTGTCTACCCACAGCCTGCCAGTATGAGTCTTCAACTGGAGTGAGGGGGGTCCTGACTTTTGGATCCCCAGTCACCAGGACTGCCAGAGAGGTCCCATTCATGGTTTGGGGACATGTTCCTCACTAGCAGGAAACAGAGACGAAAAAGCATCATCACCCTCACTTCTCCCCAACTCTGCCCTCTGGGTCCACAGAGACGAAGAAACCCCAGGAAGGGGAAGGAAGGCTGGCCCTGCCCAGCCAGTCTCTAGCCACGCACCGCCATCCCCATAACTGCGATTTCTCTGCCCCATCCCTCATCCAGGGCACTGCTGGTGCTTGGACTCCAGCCTGTGGAGTGCTGGCCATGGTTTCGGAGTTAAGGACCTTGGTCTGGGGTTTTAAGTGTCCACCCAGCCAGGCCCTGCCCAGTGTGGGACCAAGAGGGGAAGAAAGGCTAGGACCAGGGGGAAAAGGAAGGCTGAGCCAGCTGGTGCCTACCAGGAGTGACCCCACGCTATGCCTGTCCACCCCTCACCAGTGTTTGTGCCTTGAGCTGAGGAGGCAGCCCCTGGGCCTTGAACCTCTGGAGGACAGGGGAGGTTCCAGGACCCTGAGAGGAAGGGGAAAGAAGAATCGTCTCTGCATCTCAGGCCCTCCCGGGGACGGGAAGACCCAGGCACCCTTGGGCCCTCACATCCTAGAGCAGAGATGAGGTCTGAGGCCGGCCCCTCCTGCCTCCTCACTATTTGCAATAGATGTAAATATGACCAATAAATCCTTTGGAAGGGCCACTGCACAGCGTGAGGCTTGTCTTGGTGGTGGTTGCATGGTGGAGAAAAGCTGGGACCCGGCAGCTTTGGCAGGTAGGGGTGAGGAGTAGGGCAGACTGGTGAGGGGGCACCCATGGGGTGCAGGGCTTCTGGTTCGTGCAAACCCAGACTAGTCTCTAGAACCTTGGGGTGGGTAAGAAAGCATCACTTCTGAAGAAGGGTACTAGGAGAGGCTGCACCCCTCTGCATCTCTCCTCTCCCCACCCCTTCTGGGCCCAGCCTGAAGGCAGCCAGCGTATCCTGGGCGTATAAGGGCTGGGGGTGGGCACGCTATCCTGGGCTCTCTGCATTGGCTCCTGCAGCCTCCTCTCCCCTCCCCTTAGGAGTGGGAGGCAGTAGTGGGGAAGAGGCGAGAACATTGGAAGTGGGATTCCGGATATGACTCGGCCCAGCTCTGTGTCCTTGGGCAGGTCACGTAGCCTCTCTGAGCCTGGCTGAACTAGGGATTATCCCTACCTCGGTTGCTGGAAGGCTTGGCATAGTGACAGGCCCCAGCGCTTCTTGGATCTGCCCTCTTGGCTTGTCAGACCCACCCTCCTGAACCGTGTCCCGATCTTCCTTTCTCCACACTCAGGTGGGACTCAAATCCTTGGAGGTTCTAGCTAGCTGTTTTAGGATGATTAATAGAGGCAGTGCTGGGAAAGGGGCTTCTGGTCCCGGTATCAATGTTTAACTGGACATGCAGGTCAATATTTACCAGAAGGGAAAGCAGTCTACACAGGGGTTGGCTGAGAGCAAAGGTCCTGGTGGGAGGGAGGGCTAGGCTGGGCTGGCTGCAACCTGGGCAGAGTGTGGGGAGCACCCAAGTGGGGCCAGAGGAACATCGCGTGCGGCAGCAAGGAGCCTGCAGAGGTACGAGGTGAGGGGTGGCCGGATCCACTCCTTGGGCAAGAGAGGAGGCAGGGAGCTCCCTGCCTGGCTGAGGGGTCTGGGCTGACATTATTGAGGTGACTTGGAATTCTTAGCCTCCTAGGGTGGTGAGGAGTCTAGGTGGGAGCTCCAAGAGGAGTCCCTCTAAGACTTGAAAAATAAGAGGCCTTTTACTGCAGGAAGATTCAAAGCCCATGTTGGGGATCAAGGCCCCAGTCAAGCGCTCTTATCCCTTAGGAGGACTGGTTTTGAGACTGGAGGCTGAGGGGTTGGGGCGGGGGTGGGGGGCGTGTGTGAGCCCAGCTCTGAGGCCATGCCCGGGTCCAGTTTCTCCTTTAGTCTGAGGCCTGCCCATTCCCATCCACAGCCTTATTTCCCAGAGCTGGCCTGGGAAGGGTGGGGGGCAAGGCCTGTGATTCCTGTGAGTCCAAAGGTGGCTCTGGCCATTCATTGTGCCCTGTGGCTGGGTCAACCAGGCAGCCCTCCAGCTACCCCACCCTGCTGAGACCTCAGGCCTCACAGGTCTGTCTACCCTTATGGCAAGACCTGACCAGCCTGAGGAAGACTGGCCAAATGGACAGCAAGTCCTTTGGGAGATCTGGGCTGAGAATCCTGTGAGGAGGCCTCAGGGCTGGCTTTCCAGAAGAGGGTGTGACAGAGGTTGACAAGAGTCATTGGTGGAGTGTCAGGCCTTGCAAAGACTATTTTGGGCCTCTTGATATATATGGGAGGAGGTAGGGACTTCTGCCACCACTTTAATAAGAGATCAGGCTAACAAAGCCCAAAGGGATTAAGGGAGGTGCCCAAGGTCTTCTAGCAAGAGGCAGTGCCCGGATGCAGACCAGGCCTCACTCACAGCACAAGGCCTTGAAGAATGAGGACTTTTTTAGTATTAATGCCCCTTGACCTGCCATTAACCAAAACATCCTCAGTGCACGAAATGTGAAACCCATAAACTACAAAAGGGAAAGAAATCAGAGGGGGAGACCAGAAGTTGGCATCGTGGCTACATTGCTGGACTACTATGTAGTTGACCACGGTTCAAGTCCCGGACCCAGTGGCTTAAACTCACTCCGGGCATGTGTGCGTGCGTGCCCAAGATCCCAAGAGGAGAATGGAGGAGAAGGGATTGCAGCGTGGCTATCTCCCCTTGGGGGTGATTTCTCGCTTTCTGTCTCTCTGTTTCTCTGTCTTTCTAGAGAGTGCATGTGCCCTATAGCAAAACCTCTCCAGAAATTAAAAAAAAGAAAAGAAATCAGAGGAATCCCATCCCTCAGAAACAAGACCCACTGCTAAAGGTTTTGGGTGTGTGTCCTGACTTCTTAGCCGGCTTCTCCCCCTTGGCAATATCCGCCAGGACTTGGCTGAGGCAGTGAACACGTGGGCAAGATTCTGAGGTCCAGCGTGGGGCGAGGTGGGGACTGAGCCTTCCGTCCTGACACAGGAACATGACGCTGCTCTGGGGGCTGCTGGTGCTCTGCTTGTCCTGCCTGCAAGGCCCCTACTTCGCGGTGAGGCCGGGCTGAGTTCTGGAGTGAAGTCAGTCCAATAGAGGATGACGCTGGGGGCGGTGAGGGGAACAGGTGTGAGGGAGGTCTGAGAGGCTGGGGGAAGAAGAGGGGCACTCAGATCTTGGGGCGGGGGGTTCGACCCTGAGTGGGGCTCTCCCTCCTACCCTCATCCGTGTCTCAGCAGCTCTCTCCAGTGAGCGCCCTTGAGCCCTTGGACCCGCAGGTACTGGGCAGAGTGCGGGGGGAGGACGGCCGCGAGGGGTCTCGCCTGTGGCTTGCGCGGGGTGGGGAACCCGTGCGAAGGGTCGCTCTCTGTCTGCTTCCTCCATTCTGCAGCCGGTTAGCGGGCTGACGCAGGAGAAGGTGCCCCCGCTTGCCCTCCTCAAGTTGGGCAACCAGGTACACCCAGGTGGGGCTGGGGAAGAGTGGGAGGGGCCGTCGGAAGGAGGGCCAATAGCAGGGGCGAGGGGGCTGGGGGCGTGGCCGCGAGGCGGGGCTCTGGAGGCGGAGGTTAGAAGGCGGAGGGTGGGACGACCAAGGGAAGGGAGCGGTTCCCAGAATGCCAGTTCCCGCCGCGGGCTGTCCCTCTCCCCTCAGAACTGGCGCTGTAAAGGAGATCTTCAACGCAGAGCTCAGAACTGACCTTTGACCTCACCGACCCCTGATCTGTCCCTACAGGAACCTGATGGCCAGGATGCCCTGAAGAGGTCCCCAGGAGACTGCAAAGGAGCTCCAACCCCAGAGCAGACACGCAGGCTGGCCCAGGCCATGATGGCCTTCTCCGCTGACCTATTCTCCCTCGTGTCTGAAAAGTCCACCAGCCCCAACCTCATCCTGTCACCCCTGAGTGTGGCCCTGGCATTGTCTCACCTGGCACTAGGTACTGTGGCAGCACCTGTCCACACCAGCAGAGCCAGAAGCCGTAGGTGCTCACTACTCTAGAGGTTATCACTGAGTGACTTTTTCATCAGGGTCACCTGGCTGATTGGCAAACATGCAGAGTCCTGGGCTCTCCACCAGTCTCTGTGAATCAGATTCCTGGGGGCGGCTTGTTTCCAAGGCCTTCCAGTGATGTCGCAAGGGGTGTGATAGCTACGGACAGTTCTCATTGCACTGCAGGGTCCCATTGTGAGCAACCGAGGTCCAGAGAGGGAGGGCACTTCCGTGAGGCCATCCAGCCTGACAGCAGCAGAGAAGAAAGTAGAACCCAGGAGTCCTGTCACTCAGAGGGCGTGGAGGGGAGTGTGTGCTCTCACGCACATGCTGGTCAGGGGTGTTCAAGAATGACTGGTGTGCTGGGACCAGCAGTTAGCGTAATGGCTATGTCGCTGGACTCCCACAGTCGACTGCGTTTCGCGTCCCGGACCCGGTGGCTTAAAACTCATGCCAGGCGCGTGTGCGTGAGTGCCCAGGATCCCGAGAGGAGAATGGAGGAGAAGGGATTGAGGTGTGACCATCCCCCCTAGGGGGTGATTTCTCGCTTTCTGTCTCTCTGTCTTTCTCTGTCTGTCTGGCAAGTGCATGCGCCCTATAGGGAAAAACCTCTCACAAAAGAAAAAAGAAAAAAACTCATGCCGGGTGCAAGTGCATGCGTGCCCAAGATTCAGAGAGGAGAATGGAGGAGAAGGGATTGAGGTGTGACCATCCCCCCTAGGGGGTGATTTCTCGCTTTCTGTCTCTATGTCTCTCTCTGTCTTTCTGGCAGGCACACACGCCCTATAGCAAAAAGCTCTCCAAAAAATAAAAAAGAATGACTGGTGTGGGTAGTGGGGGTGGGGAAGAAGACCCCAGCCTGGGTCTCAGCCATGTGGTCCTTCCAGGTGCTCAGAACCAAACGCTGCGGAGGCTACACCAGGTCCTGCACGTGGACTCAGGGCCCTGCCTCCCCCACCTGCTGAGCCACCTTTGCCAGAACCTGGGCCCTGGGGCATTCCGACTGGCTGCTAGAATGTACCTGCAGAAAGGTATGTGCCTATAACAGGGAACACCTGAGGTGAACAAGGGCAAGGGAGAGCGTTTTGGCCTCAGGTAGCCCTCCGTCAGAGCACTGCAGGCTGTGGAGCCCTAAGCTCTGGGAATAGTTTATTGCCTTGTGTATAGGATTTCCCATCAAAAAGGATTTCCTGGAGCAATCAGAACAGCTCTTCGGTGCAAAGCCTGTGAGCCTGACAGGAAGGGCTGAGGAAGACCGGGCAAACATCAACCAATGGGTGAAGGAGGCCACGGAAGGCAAGATTGAGGATTTCCTCTCGGAGCTGCCAGATGACACCGTACTGCTTCTCCTCAATGCCATCCACTTTCAGGGTACGCTTCTTATCTTCTCAAATCCATCACCCTGCAGGCTGTGCTGGGCTGTGCAGACTTTGCTTTGAGGGTCCCTCTTCTTCCTCAGCCTGGGCCGTGAGGCAGGGGCTGTCTAGGTATGGGAGGAGGGGAGCCCAGGAACTGGGTGGGGTTGTTGGAAAGTACCCTGGTAGGAAACTGAGTCTGAAAAGACCTTAGAGGTTTCTGGGTCCAGATTTCAAAAGTGCCATAGGGGAATAGACCTCAGAATGATTGGGTACCAACCAGCACAGCACCTCCTGGGGTCTTAGATCCCACCTCTCATGCCACAAACAAGTTCTGGTTGGATGGGAAAGAGGCTGGTGGCTTAGCACCCTCATTGGTCCCAGCCTATGTGGCCCCTGCCCTCTGCCTGCTTGCAGGTTTCTGGAGGAACAAGTTTGACCCAAGTCTCACCAAGAAAGGCTCCTTCCACCTGGACGAGCAGTTCACGGTGCCGGTGGACATGATGCACTCCTACACGTACCCTCTGCGCTTTTTTTTGCTGGAACAGCCTGAGATACAGGTCACCTGCGGTCACCAGGCTGAGACTGGGTGTGGGAGGTGGGGAGGGCAGTGTGCAGAGAGTGGAGCAGCCACAGGGGTGGGGGGATCACTCTGCCTTCCCTGCAGTCATGTCCCTGGGGTAGGCAGCTCTGAAAGGTTCCACTCTGTCCCTGCCCAGGACGACTGAGGCCTCAGGCTCTCTATGGTACATTTATTCAGTGAAAATATATTGGGCATTTGTGGTGTGTTTCAGACACCGTTCTAGGCATTGGGGTTTATATGGGGCCCTAGGGAGACCGGCTCCCTGCTCTCAAGTGGACAGGTGCACAGCACACACAGTATCGTAAATTAACACAGTAACTTCAGGTAGTGGTAAGTGCTGTGAAGGAAAAGGAAAAGGTGACCTGTTAGTGATGGGAAGGCATTTTATTAGGTTGCTGGCAAAGTCTTGATGTATTTTTCTGTGCTTTTCTATGCAAAACGGTGTCATGACTTTCCAGACAGCCCAACAGATAGAGTGGTCGGGGAGACATCTTTGAAGAGGGGGCACTGAGTTGAGACCCAGGTGACCTTTGGGGATGGGTTTTTTTTATTTTTATTTTTTATTTTTGGAGAGGTTTTTGCTATAGGGCGCGTGCGCTTGCCAGACAGACAGAGAGAGACAGAGAGACAGAAAGCGAGAAATCACCCCCCAGGGGGGATGGTCACGCCACAATCCCTTCTCCTCCATTTTCCTCTCGGGATCTTGGGCATGCACGCACACACGCCCGGCGTGAGTTTTAAGCCACCAGATCCGGGACACGAACCACAGTCGACTACGTGGGAGTTCAGCGACATAGCCATTACGCTAACTGCTGGTCCCGGGGATGGGGGTTTATTACAAAGGCTTGTGGATTGTGTGGCACCATAGGGACCACCCCTGCAGCCATGAAGCAACTTGGGGGTCTCAGTGCTCCCATGCCCAAGAGGTCTGACCTGTGCTTTCTCTCAGTGCCCTGACAGGGAGGGGGGTGTCTCTCCTGCGTGGAACATTCTGAGCGGATGGTTCTGTGCCAAGCGCTCTCTCCTTGCTTCTAGCCTGATATGGTCCCCTTGTCGTGACCATGGATCCCTGGGCCGGTCAGCTGTGGCTGAGATGGCAGTGCTGGTTAGTTTCACAAGGCAAGCATGACACAGTGCAGCCACTTCTGCAGGGAGGAGCCACTTGAGCAGTCTCTTGAAGGGGGTAGGAGATTGAGGATTTCCTCTCGGAGCTGCCAGATGACACCGTACTGCTTCTCCTCAATGCCATCCACTTTCAGGGTACGCTTCTTATCTTCTCAAATCCATCACCCTGCAGGCTGTGCTGGGCTGTGCAGACTTTGCTTTGAGGGTCCCTCTTCTTCCTCAGCCTGGGCCGTGAGGCAGGGGCTGTCTAGGTATGGGAGGAGGGGAGCCCAGGAACTGGGTGGGGTTGTTGGAAAGTACCCTGGTAGGAAACTGAGTCTGAAAAGACCTTAGAGGTTTCTGGGTCCAGATTTCAAAAGTGCCATAGGGGAATAGACCTCAGAATGATTGGGTACCAACCAGCACAGCACCTCCTGGGGTCTTAGATCCCACCTCTCATGCCACAAACAAGTTCTGGTTGGATGGGAAAGAGGCTGGTGGCTTAGCACCCTCATTGGTCCCAGCCTATGTGGCCCCTGCCCTCTGCCTGCTTGCAGGTTTCTGGAGGAACAAGTTTGACCCAAGTCTCACCAAGAAAGGCTCCTTCCACCTGGACGAGCAGTTCACGGTGCCGGTGGACATGATGCACTCCTACACGTACCCTCTGCGCTTTTTTTTGCTGGAACAGCCTGAGATACAGGTCACCTGCGGTCACCAGGCTGAGACTGGGTGTGGGAGGTGGGGAGGGCAGTGTGCAGAGAGTGGAGCAGCCACAGGGGTGGGGGGATCACTCTGCCTTCCCTGCAGTCATGTCCCTGGGGTAGGCAGCTCTGAAAGGTTCCACTCTGTCCCTGCCCAGGACGACTGAGGCCTCAGGCTCTCTATGGTACATTTATTCAGTGAAAATATATTGGGCATTTGTGGTGTGTTTCAGACACCGTTCTAGGCATTGGGGTTTATATGGGGCCCTAGGGAGACCGGCTCCCTGCTCTCAAGTGGACAGGTGCACAGCACACACAGTATCGTAAATTAACACAGTAACTTCAGGTAGTGGTAAGTGCTGTGAAGGAAAAGGAAAAGGTGACCTGTTAGTGATGGGAAGGCATTTTATTAGGTTGCTGGCAAAGTCTTGATGTATTTTTCTGTGCTTTTCTATGCAAAACGGTGTCATGACTTTCCAGACAGCCCAACAGATAGAGTGGTCGGGGAGACATCTTTGAAGAGGGGGCACTGAGTTGAGACCCAGGTGACCTTTGGGGATGGGTTTTTTTTATTTTTATTTTTTATTTTTGGAGAGGTTTTTGCTATAGGGCGCGTGCGCTTGCCAGACAGACAGAGAGAGACAGAGAGACAGAAAGCGAGAAATCACCCCCCAGGGGGGATGGTCACGCCACAATCCCTTCTCCTCCATTTTCCTCTCGGGATCTTGGGCATGCACGCACACACGCCCGGCGTGAGTTTTAAGCCACCAGATCCGGGACACGAACCACAGTCGACTACGTGGGAGGGGTTTATTACAAAGGCTTGTGGATTGTGTGGCACCATAGGGACCACCCCTGCAGCCATGAAGCAACTTGGGGGTCTCAGTGCTCCCATGCCCAAGAGGTCTGACCTGTGCTTTCTCTCAGTGCCCTGACAGGGAGGGGGGTGTCTCTCCTGCGTGGAACATTCTGAGCGGATGGTTCTGTGCCAAGCGCTCTCTCCTTGCTTCTAGCCTGATATGGTCCCCTTGTCGTGACCATGGATCCCTGGGCCGGTCAGCTGTGGCTGAGATGGCAGTGCTGGTTAGTTTCACAAGGCAAGCATGACACAGTGCAGCCACTTCTGCAGGAAGGAGCCACTTGAGCAGCCTCTTGAAGGGGCTAGGTGGGCCCCCAGGGTGGCTTCCTGGCTTCTTTCCAGCTCATCCTGACACCTCCCCCTCAGCTTGCCTTGTTCTGCTGCTCCTTCTCTCCAGGCTGTGTCCTGCCCACTCTCCTTTGTCCTTCTGTCCCCATTTCCTGGTTCTCCTCCACCTTCTCCTTCCTTGGGCCCTCTGCGGGCAGACCCCGGCTCTTGTCCCCTTGCTGGTGGGAGTCCTGTGCAGAGGCGCCTGCCTAGAACCCCAGGGAGCAGCCACAGCAGCCCCTGGTTTCCACACTACATTAGCTGCGGAAGCCCCTTCAAAGGAGACCTCCCCCAGACCGCAGTGTGTGGCCATGGCTGGCGGAGGCCATGCACTGTGCTGGAGGTGAAGACAGCTGGGGCGAGCACCAGGCCTGCAGTGGCCCCTCTGGGACCTTAGGGAGGTTTGAGGCACTTTTTCTTTCTAAGTTTATTTATTTATTTCTTCCATGAGAGACAGACACTCCCCAGAGTCCCACGCCATAATCCATCCCCAGTCCCAGCTGGCCTGGCTCATGGGCACACGTACACAAGCGTGATATCCACGCCTGGCGTGATCCTGTCCGTGGTGCATGTGGAGAACTGAGAGGCCGAGACAGGTGGGTCCTTGCCCGTCACCCGGCTAGCTAATAGCAGATGAAAAGAGAAAACCACCATTGATCGGGCACTGCCGGTGAGTGCAAATGCTGCTGGAACTTTAGAAGCATTCTTATTGGGTCACAATCATCTTGCTATGTGGGCGGGTAAGGAAGTGAGTTCAGGGCGCAGTGAGGTCAAGTGCACACCTGCTAAGATGCGCTGTGAAGTTGGTGGTGACAACCTTCCTATGATTCTTCTCCCAAGATAAACCCCCCAGTTTACCCTATCCCCATGTGACCTGTCCCCAGCTCCTCTGTGACTCCTCCTCTCCCCAGTCCCTCCACTCCAGCCCCAGGACCCCTGTTCATCTTGAACTTCTGCACATGCCCCCCACCTCAAGCCCTCTGCACTTGTCTTCCTCTGCCAAGCCGCTCCCCCCAACCCCAGGCCACCTGCCGACCCAGAGCCACCCAGGCTTGGGTGCTTTCTGGTCCTCAGGTTCTTTCTGGTCCTCAGGTTCTCTTCCCTTCATCCATAGGTGGCCCATTTCCCCTTTAAGAACAACATGAGCTTTGTGGTCCTGGTGCCCACCTCCTTTGAGTGGAACGTGTCCCAGTTACTGGCTAACCTTAGCTGGGACACCCTGAACCAGCAATTCCTGTGGGAGACACCCACCAAGGTCCAGCTGCCCAAGCTGAATCTGAAATACCAACTGGACCTGGTGACCACCCTCAGTGAGCTGGGTAAGAAGGCCGGGTGTGGGACAGCCCCCAGGTCAAGCTGGACAGAGTAGTTCTGGGCCAGACCTAGCCTCGTGTCCTAGCCTTTCTGGGGCTTAGGGAGGGGGAGAGGGTTTGATACAAGCCCTGAACCTTCTGACCTGGGGCAAGGTGGGATGACGCAGGGAATGGGGACCTGCTGTGTGCTCGGGACTGAACATGGCAAAGAACCATGAGTGGAGAGCCTGGGGTGGCCTCGTGAGCCTGCTGGCTCTCCTGTAGGGGAGAAGGAGAAGCTGGGGTGTCGTTATTAGAGATGTATCTACCCATCAGCCGTCCACTAGGCAACTCCCATAGTCCAGGACTGTAGCCATCATGTACATACATAAACAGCTCAGTCTAATTGGGGATGCACGTGTGGACATCAGGCACTTACAGTTCAGCGCCAGTCATAAGACAGAGGTTTCTGGCCAGTTCACCCAGGAGAATGTTGAACACGCACCTAGTCTAGACTTTGGAGCTGGGAAATCAGGGGAGGCTTCCTGGAGGAAGTGATATTTAACTGAGACTTGATGTTTGAGCTTCAAGAAGTTGAGGAGGGATCTGTGAGTGTGAGGTATTCCCTGGCCAGGATGCCAGACACCCTTCCAGGCAGGTCAGGCGGGTCCAGGATGTGGGGTGGAGGGTGACTCTGACAGCCACCTCCTGCTTGGGGCAGGCCTGCAGGAACTGTTCCAGGCCCCAGACCTGCGCGGGATCTCCGAGGAGAGCCTGGTGGTGTCCAGCGTGCAGCACCAGTCCACTCTGGAGCTCAGTGAGGCCGGTGTGGAGGCACCCCAGCCATGGGCATGACCCGCTCGTCCCTCTCCATCTTCAGCTTGAACCGCCCCTTCCTTTTCTTCCTTTTCGATGACGCCACGGGCCTGCCCCTTTTCTTGGGCAGCGTGAAGAACCCCAACCCTAGTGCGCAGCGGGAGCTCAAGGAGCAGCAGGACTCCCCTGACAACAGGGACTTCCTCCATAATTGGAGGGCCTTCCGCCGTGGTGACAAGCTCTGGGATCTTGACTTGAAACTCGAACCCCCCCCCGAGGAGGACTACCGGCTGGATAGCACCCCCAAGTGAAGGGCCATGGCTGCCAGCTTCCCCAGTCCCTGCCTGGAACACCATTTCAACTCATGTGATTCTTTCTGAACAGCTTTGTGGGGTTGGGGCGGGGGCCTGGGCGGGCAGTCTGGGAGGAGAGGAGCCATTGCTTCCATCTACTCTCGGGGAGCCTGGGGTGGGCTGGGGCCTGGAGGAGGGCAGGGAGCAGGTCATTGTGGGCCTGATCCTGCATTGTTTCTCCAAAGGGCTCAGGGGATGTCCTTTCCTTTGGCAAGGGTGGTGGTCAGGAGATGGGGCAGGTCACTCCCTAAGTCAGTGGGGACACCTCCACTTTTGTTTACCAGAGCGGGAGGGGCTGGGGGCGGCTGCCTTTGAGTACCTCCCAGAAAGCCCTGGTGGGAGCTCAAGAGGCAGAGAGTTGTCCTGGACCAGAGGCTGGGGATCAGCCCCAGCCCTTCAGGGGACCACGTCCTGCTCTGTAGGTGGAGGCTGGATGTCCAACACTGCCTGACTCTTGGTAACTGCAGAAGGCCAACCAGCCTCCAATCCACCCCTGATGCCCTGTCACCTCCCCCCCGCCCCCCCGTGGGCCTTGGAGATGCCAACACTGCCAGGATCCCCTTTCTTCCTCTCTGCTTCCCCTTCTGCCCAGTAGCTCAGGGGCCAAGGCAGGGAAGGGCCCCCGTAGTTCCCCAAAGCTCTTTTGTAAAGTTTTTGTAGTGATTTTTATGCCACCTGAATAAAGAATGAATGGGCCCAGCTGGTTCGACGTCACTGTTCTGGGCACGGGTGGGAGCAAGGAGAGTGGGAGGAAGGCGGGGAGGCCACAGAGCAGCCGGTGCGAGGAGCTGCTGGGCCCCGGGCAGGGCGGCAGCCCTCTCCGTGCCACGTTTGGCCTCTGGCCCCTCGCCAGCCCTCTCTAGGCCACCTCCATGCCAGCCTGGCTCTGCCCTCAGCCCGTTCCTCTCTACATGCCACAGGCAGCCGGCAGCAGGGGCAGCTCAGAATAGCGCCAGCCTCCCTGTTTGGGAGAAGGACTGGCAATTAGGGAGCTTGCAGGGTTTCTAATTACACAGTGGCCCCTCCGCCAGGAGTGGCGCCCGCCAGCCGGGGCAGGCCGCTGGAGACCAGGCGCCAGCTGGCGGCCTGCAGTGCTAGGGGTTCTGGGGGAAGGGGATGGGGTATGGTGGCCCCAGGCTAATGCCTTCCTTTGTGCAGAGCCAGGAGCTAAGCCGGGCATGGGAGTGTCCACGTGAGGGGAGCACCCTGGCTGTGGGTGTGTGCCTCCCTGCTGGGAATGCAGGGTGACAGCAGCCACCTGGAGCCCTGATGAGCCATGGTTACAGAGGCAGCAGGCCCGGCCGGACTCGTGCTTCTTAGGAACAAGGGCGAGGTGGTATGTCAGAGGGTGAACTACAGAAAGAGAAAGACGAAGCCAGGAAGGGGGACAGGGCGGGGAAGACCTTGCTGAGAAGGCCGCGCTGGAGCAGGGGCTCGCAGGTGAGGGAGAATCTTGGGGGAGAGTGGCCTGGCAGAGGAAGACAAGGGCAGAGGCCTGAGGTGGGGGCATGTGCAGAAGTTCAAGATGAACTGGGGTCCTGGGGCTGGAGTGGGGGGAGGAGGAGTCACAGAGGAGCTAGGGACAGGTCACGTGGGGAGCAGGGTAAACTGTGGGGTTTATCTTGGGAGAAGAGTCACAGGAAGGTTGTCACCACCGACTTCACTTTAGCTCTAACTCCTCAGTGCTCTCCTCCTCTCCATTTTGGCTCCTCGTGCCCTGGTCGGGCCTGTCCATCATGCCTAGGGTCACCACCTTTGCTTTCTACATCCTCCCTGCCACTGGTCTGCCGCCTTAAAGCACTCTCTGCCCTGCAAATTCTTTCTTTTCTTTTTTCTTTTTCTTTTCTTTTCTTTTCTTTTCTTTTCTTTTCTTTTCTTTTCTTTTTTCTTTTATTGCCAGAAGGCCTGTGCACTTGACAGAAAGAGAAAGAAGGAGAGGAAGAGGGAGAAAGCACCCCTTGGTGGGGCATGGTCACACCAAAATCTCATCTCCTCCATCTCCCCATCCCGTTGGTATTCTGGGCATGCATATACATGTGCCAAGTGTGTTTTTTTTTTTTTTGGAGAGATTTTCACTGTAGGGCGCGTGCGCTCGCCAGACAGACAGAGAGAGACATAGAGACAGAAAGCGAGAAATCACCCCCCAGGGGGGATGGTCACGCCGCAATCCCTTCTCCTCCATTCTCCTCTCGGGATCTTGGGCACGCACGCACACGCGCCCAGCGTGAGATTTAAGCCACCGGGTCCGGGACACGAACCGCGGTCGACTACGTGGGAGTCCAGCGATATAGCCATTACGCTAACTACTGGTTCCCCCAAGTGTGTTTTTCAAGCTGCCAGGGTCAGAACTCAAAACTGCCACTGGCCATGTGGGATGTGGCTTCCTTAACCATGACACCATGGCTGGCCTCCCTGAGAGCTCTCACAAGCACCTCCCACGTGTCTGGCAGCACAGCTAGTGCTGGAGCTGCAGCAACAAGCAACCGCACAGGGACCTAAGTTTGGCGGTGAGTAGCCTAGGTAATAAATACAAGCTATAGTGCGGTTCGAGGCCCAGACCCAGTGACTTGAAAACCATGTAGGGGGACCAGCAGATGGCGTGATGATTATGTTGCTGGACTCCCACATGGCCAACCATGATTTGAGTCCCAGAGCTAGTGGCCTCAAACTCATGCCGGGCGCATGTACCTGTGTGCCCAAAATACCGAAAGGAGAAGGGCAGAGAAGGGACTGTGGTGTGGCCATCCCCCTGGGGGTGATTTCTTGCTTTCTGTCTCTCTGTCTCTTTCTATTTCTCTGGTGATCACACACAAAAACTTCTCTTAAAAAAAGAAAAAAAGAAGAAGAAGGAAAACCCATGTGTAGGGCGTGCCCCAAATCCTGAGAGAATGGAGGAGAAAGGAGTATAGCGTGGTCACCACCCCACCCTGCCTGGGGTCTCTGTCTGTCTCCTGCGAGTGCACATGCCCTATGGCAATAAATTAAAAAAAAATAGAAAGTGGAGTAGGAAATCTCTGGTTAGCAGACGAGAGACGTGGGGGGTTTGGCCTGCAGTGCTGGCTGTGGAAATGGGGGAGTCATCAGAATTCACATGTATTACAGAATTTGTGGATAGATTCTTGGGAGATGGGAGAAAGGAAAGCCTCAAGGATGGTGGGGTCCGTCATTTAAATTCCCGGGGGGTTGTTAAGAAAACACGGGTTGGTGGCAGTACCTTTTACTGAGATAGTGGAGTGAGGGACAGAATTTAGGGTGGATCAGAGATTTCCATTTCGGACATGTCATGACAGAAATGCCACACTCAAATAGGGTGCTCAAGTTCAAGTTATGTTTGTGGTTCTAGCTTGATTAACGGAAGTTCTTAGAAGTGCTGCTGTTTGGGGCCAGCAGTTGGTCTATGTTGCTGGATTCCCACGTAGTCGACCATGGTTCAAGTCCCGGACCCTGTGGCTTAAACTCACGCCGGGCGTGTGTATTTGCATGCCCCAGATCCCGAGAGGAGAATGAAGGAGAAGGGATTGCGGCATGGCCATCCCCCCTAGGGGGTGAGTTCTTGCTTTCTGTCTCTCTGTCTCTCTCTGTCTTCCTGGCGAGCGCACGTGCCTTACAACAAAAACCTCTCAAAAAAAAAAAAAAAAAAAGTGTTGCTGTCTGGGACCAGCAGATGGTATAATGGTTATTTTGTTGGACTCCTGCATGGCCAACTGTGATTCAAATCCTGGACCCAGTGACTTGAAACTCACGCCGGGTGCGTGTGCGTGCGTGCCCAAAATCTCGCGAGGAGAATGGAGGAGAAGGGATTGTGGCGTGGCCGTCCCCGCGGGGGGGTGATTTCTCACTTTCTGTCTCTCTGTCTCTCCAGCGAGCACAAGTGCCCTATAGCAAAAATATCTCTTTCAACAACAAATAAACAAACAAACAAAAAAAGAAGTGTTACTGTTTGGATAAACATGATAAATAAATTATATGTTCATCTTACCTATTGGGTATTCATGTGGATATGATAGGAGTGGAATTACAGAGTTATAGGTTTGGGCTTGCCCATCTTTAACTGCCAGAGCTGCCACATGTGGTTATGCACAACTCTGATGTTTATTGTCAGATTATTCTTCAAAGTAGCGGTAGTAAGCCTTTTGGCTGAAACCGCCATCTTCCAGTAATTAACCAAAATGACGAACACAGAGGGAGAGAGGAGAGGCACCCGATACATGTTCTCTAGGCTTTTTAGAAAACATGGTTCCTTTGGAACATATATACAAATCTACAAGGTGATATTGTAGACATGAAGGGGATGGGTACTGTTCAAAAAGGAATGCCCCACAAATGTTACCATGAGTTGCAAAACTGTTAGAGTCTACAATGTCACCCAGCATGCTGTTGGCATTGTTTAAACCACCAAGGGCGAGATTCTTGCCAAGAGCATTAATGTGCGTATTGAACGTAATGAGCATTCAAAGAGCAGAGATAGCTTCCTAAAACATGGGAAGGAAAATGACCGGAAAAAGAAGGAAGCCAAAGAGAAAGGAACCTGGCTTCAAACTGAAGCGCCAGCCTGCTCCACCCAGAGAAGCACACTCCGTGAGAACCAGTGGAAAGGAGCCTGAGCTTCAGAAACCTATTCCCTATGAATTCATGGCATGATGGGTGTTAAAAATAGACTAATCTGGGACCAGCAGGTGGTGTGGTGGTTAAGGGTGCTGGATTTCCACATGGCCGACCATGGTTCGACCTAGACCTGAAGGCTTGCATTCTCACTTTGTCTCTGTCTTGTTCTGTCTCTCTCTGATTAAATAAAAATAAATAAATAAATACAGTTAAATAAAAAAAAAATTTAAAAATAAATTAATCTATGGCCTTTTTAAAAAAAAAAAACAACGTGGCCGTATTAATATATAGCAGCAGGGCATAAGAGTTCTGGTTTTCCACGTCCTCATCAACACTTGGTATTGTCAGATGGTTACAGTTTGCCAGCTTGATGAGTATGAAATAGAATTTGTTATGGCCTTAATTTGTGTTCCTTTGATTACTAGTGAGGCTAAAACATCTTCTCATAAGTTTATTGGTCACTTGGGATTCTTCTGTGAATTACCTGCGCCTCTTTTTCTGTTGAATTGTTTTTCTTTTTCTGGTTCATTTATAGTACTTTTCACATTACGGCTAGTTATTGTTTTTGTCAGTTATCTGTGTTACAAAGATTTTCTCCCAGTGTGAGGCTTGTCTTTCCACTGTGTTTTATGGCATCTTTTCATGAGAACACATTTAAAAAAAAAATTAAGAATGGTTTTATTTAACTTTATGTATTTATTTATTTTAATTTGACCAGAGAGGGACAGAGTGAGAGAGAGAGAGAGAGAGGGAAAGTGAGAAAGCAAGCCACCAGGTCCAGGCCTCGAACCATGGTCAGCCAAATGGGAATCCAGTGCTCTTAACCACTACGTCACCTGCCAGCCCTGAGAACACATTTTTTATTGTAATGCCAAATTTAAATCCTTTCTTCTGTAATTTGTGCTTCTTTTGGTGTCTTATTTTTACAAAGTATTTCCTTCAGAGATCACAAAGGAATCCATTTATGTTGTCTTTTTGGCTAGGGAGCATGTGCACTTACCAGAGAGAGCCAGAGAGAGGGAGAGGAGAAAGCACCGTCCATGGGGAATGGTCACGCTGCAATCCCTTCTCCGTTTCTTCCTTTTCAGATTTTGGACACACACACGTATGCGCCCAGTGTGTTTCTCAAGCGGCTGGGTCCAGACTCAAATGGTGCAGTCAGTCATGTGGGCTGTCTTAACGACTACACCATGGGCTGCTCTCCATTTGCTTTATTATTTCTTTTTAGACAATTATTTATTTAATTTTATTAGTTGTTATTATCATTATTATTATTTTCTTTTTTGGAGAGGTTTTTGCTATAGGGTGCGTGCGCTTGCCAGAAAGACAGAGAGAGACAGAGAGACAGCCGCAATCCCTTCTCCTCCCTTCTCCTCTCAGGATCTTGGGCACACACGCACATGCGCCCAGCGAGAGTTTAAGTCACCGGGTCAGGGACTTGAACTGCAGTCGACTACATGGGAGTCCAGTGACATAGCCAATAGCCATTACTCTAACTGCTGGTCCCATTATTATTATTTTTAAATTTGCTATGGGGCACATGTGCTCACCAGAGAGAGGCAGAGAGAGGGAAGTGATAAAGCAACTTGCGAGGTCCAGGACTTGTACAGTGGTTGGCCATGTGGGAGTCTAGTGTCTTAACCACCATGCCATCTGCTGGCCCCTTCACTTGCTTTTTTAAAAAGATTTATTTAGTTTTATTTCTTGTTTTTAAACTTTCTATAGAGTATATGTGCTCACTAGAGAGAGCGAGAAAGTGAGAAAGCAGGAAAGCAAGCTGACAGGTCCAGGACTTGAACCACAGTCAGCCATGTGGGAATCCAACACCTCAACCGGTATACCAGCTACTGGTCCCCACTTGCTTTTCTTTTCTTTTCTTTCTTTTTTTAAAGATTTATTTATTCATTTATTCATTCATTTTAATTGGACCAGAGAGAGAGAGACAGAGAGAGACAGAGAGAGAGAGAGAGAGAGGAAAGTGAGAAAGCAAGCCACCAGGTCCAGGACTCGAACCGCGGTCGACCATGTGGGACTGTCCAGCGCCTTAACCACCATGCTACCTGCTGGTCCCCCCACTTGCTTTTCTTAAAAAGAATTATTTATTTATTTAATTCTATTTGTTATTTTATTTTATTTTTGAGAGAGGTTTTTCACTATAGGGCGCGTGTGTTTGCCAGAGAGACAGAGAGACAGAAAGTGAGAAATCACCCCCCAGAGGGGATGGCCACGCTGCAATCCCTTCTCCATTCTCCTCTCAGGATCTTGGGCACGCACGCACACGCGCCCGGCGTGGGTTTTAAGCCACCGGGTCCGGGACACGAATCGCGGTCGACTA